AAACCCCAAGGAAAATCATTTGCATGAATTTTTTCTCTCTCTACTTTCTTTCTCTAGATTTTTCTCTCTAGTTTTGTGTTGCGGTTTTTGATTTTTCTTGGTGTCTCTCTTCATGGCGGATCTAAAACATTGTATGGAGGAATCTATGCATCGCAAAGTAAGGAAATTTTGTAGGCCTATCCTTAGTCTGAAGATTTCCAACCCCCTTCCAAGTTTTCAAAATAAAAATAAGGAAATTTATGAAGAAAGATGCAAGAGCTGTAGATTGGAGCAGATGAATAAGCTTCGTTTATCTCCTAGTTCCCTCTCTTGTGTTTTAAGTGATGATGATCTCGTGAAAATTTTCAACCGTCCACCTCCCAAGGCGCTAAATGAGGCTAGAAGTGAAAAGAAGAATAAAGACGATGATGTTGGTAAGTTACCTCTTCCTTCTGTCTCTACTATGCCTAAGTTCAAGAAAATTGTTTAGAGTGAGGAAGTTAGTGATCAGTGCATGGATGTAGTTGAGAATAATGCCCTCTGTTTGAAAGCTTCGCCACCCCATGCTCATGGCAACAGCAGTCATCTTCATGCTCCCAAAGACTATCAAAAGTTTAGTCCTGTTGAAGCTTTGTGCAAAAACTTGGTTGTCCCTTCTCACAGTGAAAAGCTTGCGGGATTGCCTAAGGAGTCTGAAGGAGAGTGATCTTCCAACCTTCCTTGGATTGCTGTTTCTGTCTCTAATAATCTTGGATTTCTTTCTCCCACGAAGAAGCTAGTACTGGGTGCCAAAATCCTGGAAAAAGTTTGAAGATTGTTCATTAGGTTGAAGATCCAACGGTCATCTCCTTGAATGGTAATATGTCGCATCCTCCTACTTTTCAGTTTGGTTCCCCGATGTGCACTGTGAATAGGGAGGACTCTATAGCTTTCTTTAATTGTCAGACCCAAAAAGATGTGGGGGCAGAAGCTTTTTCTAGGGATAAAGAAGCAGCGGATGGGACGATGAAGGAAAGTAGTATGGCCGATGATCCTATGGAGCTTGGGTGCAGGTCTGCTGATGTGTTAGAAAAAAAGAAGTCGCGTCTAACAGTTACGGGTCTGCATGTGCAGAGTGTGCAGTATGGCGAAGGGTACTATGGGCCGCATGCTATTTTGGAGGGAGTCGTGCCCCCTTGTTCTTTGGAAGATGGGTCTCATTTAAATATTATTTCTGCCATAAAGGGTGGTACTTTTGAAGCTTCTGCCAGCTTGCATGGGTTGGATACTCAAGGAAAGGTTAATTACCTTTCGGATACTGACCATTCTAGTTGGTCCTCGAGTTTGGCTAAAAAGGTTTTGGATGATCTCCCTAATGAGTCTATTTCAAATCCTTGTGATCTGGGTGCTGTTTCTTTGAACCACGTGGCATCTTTGTCAAAAGGTTTACCACGTGGCTATGACTCAAATTCTTGTGATGTTGCTAAGTTTCTGCCAGGTCACCCTTACGGGTCTTCAGCCGGTCAAATTATGGATGTTTTAGTTAAAGCTGGGACCAGTTACACTCCACCATCTTATATTTCTGGGCCGCATCCTTTTTCTAATAATAGTATTGAGAAGATGGACCCTTTGGTTGATAATAGATCTGATCCTTCTCATGCCCACATGGATGTGGATGTTCATTCTGAAGAAACCAGCTGCCGGGCCCATGATTTTTCCTCTTCGCCCAAACCTGCCAAGAGTGGGCTTCCTTCTTTGCTAGGTAAGCCTCCTGGCCCAAGTAGTTTTTCTGAGCAGTTTCCTGGCCCAGGCCCAAGCCTCGATCCTCTCTCAAAACATGCCCATATGGATTTCAATGTTGATGGGCTTCCATCGTTACTTGGACCTCTCCCTTCGGCCCAATCTCCTTTTGATGGTGAACCAGGCTCACTCTCTTCTTCTATTAAGGCCCAGCAGGTTAAGGATACTAATTCAGCCTCTATTCTTGGTAAAGGCCCAAGCCCAGGTATGTTACATGTTCCCTCTTCATCCCCTCATCTTTCTAACTCTTTTCATAACCCCCCCTTGACGTTGCTGTTTCCTCCCCCACTTTAGTTTCTGTTTCTCCCTCCCCCCATTTATGACATGCTTCCTTTCCTCCTCCTTCTTTGCTTACTAAGGCTATTCCTATTTATGATGGTGTGAAGGAAAAGATGCCTTTTCTTTCTAATGTTATTAACCCTAATCTTAGCCATAATTCCAAGGTTTTGCAAAATGACTCTTTTGTAAAGGACAATTTTTCTTCGGTTTGGAATGGCAAAAATAATGGCATTCTCTATAAATCCTTTGCGAATGTTTTAAGAGGCTCTCAAAAGCATTCTAATGCTAATTTTAAGTTTATTCCCAACATTAGCGATGATTTGGATACTCCGGTTGATATCCCCTTGTCGGTGGTCCAAAAAAGTTGTCTCACTTATGCTAAAACTTTGTGCGGTTATTTTGTTGGCAAAAGCCTCCCTTTCCCGGTGGTTAGATTATATGCTTCTAAATTATGGTCTCCATTTGGATTAGAAGATGTGCTATTAAATGGCCTTGGAGAACTAGGGATGGCCGTCTCACTCCTTTCTCTGTTCGTGAGGTGTGGCTCTCCCTTCGTCCCAATGAGCCTGATGTCTCCTGGCATCATTTAGTCTGGTTCTCTCAAAGCATCCCTAGACATGCCTTCATTCTGTGGGTTGCTCTCAAGCAGCGTCTCAAGACGCATGATAAACTCCGGTTCTGGGAGGCCCATTCCAACCTGTCCTGTGCGTTCTGTCAGAACGGGCCTGATTCGCATTCGCATCTTTTCTTTGAGTGCCCGTTCCCTAATCTGGTCTGGAATGGCGTAAAATCCAAGATGAACCTCAACGGTATCCCGGATATCTGGGCTGATATTATCGGTATGTTTCAGCAAGTCTCCAAAGGAAAGACCTTATGGTCTATCATTCGTCGCTTAGTGCTTGCTGCGACAGTCTACCACTTATGGCAAGAAAGAAATAACCGCATCTTCAAAAGCAAAAGAAGATCGCATATTGCGGTGGGTAAGACAATTACGGATGATGTCCGGTCCAGGCTTCTTAGCTTGACGTTCAAGCCCTCCCTTAATGTTGACCGGGCTCGGCTTGTTTGGAACCTGCCTTAGCCGTCCTTTTCTTTTGTGCTGTTTGTTTGTTTGTGTGAGCTCCTCTGCTCTCCTGGTTTTYCTTGGTGCGGTCTAGGGTGTGCCTTTTTTAGGCCCTTTCTCCTGCCCCTGTGGTGTCTCCCGTTGTTTTCCCGGTCTTGTCTTGACTGGGCCCTTCCCTTGTGGTCGGTTTCTCTTTCTTTTTCTTTCTCCCCCTCTTCTTCTCTCTCTTTGTCTCTTCCCCTTTCTCTGTTTTTCTTTTCTCTCTTTCTCTTCCTCTCCTCTTTCTTCTTCGCTTTCTTCCTCCTTTTTTCTCTCGGGGTGCTTTGGTTTTTTCTGGTGGATGTGGTTCGCCCCCACCCGAGCGCATATTTTGTCTTGCTTTTTAGCGTTTAAGTGTTTTTGCTTGATCTGGAGGGGTCACCCCCTATCTATAAAAAAAACCCTAAACCCTAA